TATTGCAAATATTGTTACGAAAAAAATAAGTACCAAAAAATATAAGGTGACATAAAAAGATGCTGTGAAATGTGAGAAAGCACGCCAAATAATAGACATCGTCCCCGAAAACATGAGGGAAGCTAATTTTTGGTGGGAAACTTATGGCGACGAACTTTTATTTCTTGCAATAAAGTGTTTGTGATGTAATATGATCTACTTTTTGCAACATTGAATATTTGTTGTTAAAAATTCTATAGATGAAGGAAAAAAATCGCTACAAGAAAAACTATTTTTTTCCAACGAACAAAAATTATTGTTGTATGTCTTTCATAACAACGACCCTTAAAATGCAGGCTCCTGTGTTGTCATAGAATAGATGGATACATAACATGCAATGCACATTACAAAGGGCATCAAATGCACGTAGTTGTTAAGTTTTTGTGACGTTCTTCTTCCGTTGCCTTTATTATATTTTGCAACGTGTTTACTTGTTATCTTAATTTCTATTTGTGACGGTAAGTAATTGTTGTCCTTAATTTTTTTTCAAATATTGTGTTGAAAAAAATAAGTACCCAAAATATATAAGGCGTCATAAAAAGTATCGTAATATTTTTAAAACACGCGACAAATAATAAAGATTGTCGCTAAAAATATGATCGAAGTAAGGCGCTAAATTTTTTTTAATGAGAAACTATGGCGATAAACTTTTATTTATTGCGTGTTTGTGATGCAATAGGGTCTAATTTTTGTGACAAATTTTTATTTCTTGCAACAAAGTGTATGTTTTTTTGCCTAGCTAAATGTGGCATTTTAATATGTAATATAATTTTTAAATTTTATTTATTTTTGACCTAGAGGAAAATTATTTAATAAAAGCTTTATAAAATGTCTACAAAAAATTTATCTCCAACAAAAATTCAGAAAAGAATTATTAGATAGTTAACTTTCAATCACATGATAATTTTCAAAAAGAACTATTATACTAAATCAATCCATAAAGGATAATAGATGTCTCAACACTTAAAGCAAATAAATAAACAAATCATAATTCCTATATTGTCAGTTGGTGGTAGCATGTTGAACAATGTTGCTACTTTAGATTCTAGTGAAACGTGCCAATTTGACTCAATTCGAACTTATGTATTAGAGTCTCAAATTGGGATAGTCAGACGCTTATATCCATTAATTCTTGCTCCTACTTCTATATTTGCTTTCGAAAAGCTATTGACTCACTATCAGTGGATGTCAAATGAACAGTGTGGCTTGAGATAGGTTTTGGACCATGCTTTAATGTAACCTCTAGAGTTTTCTAAAACCTCCTGCATAATCTCAAATTCGGTGAGGGCTTGAGATTTCTCTAAAATAACCTCTTGTAGGTCCATGTGACTTCTTCTTCAAAGAATGAGAATCTATAAAATACTCAAAGGAAGAGAATCTATAAATAAGAAATGAGATTATATCAATTAAATGTATACATTAGGATATTTTATATCGTAAATATAAAGATAAATTATTGCCGATGGAATTGAGAATGGTTTCATTTATATACCACATGGAGTTTAATTTTTTAATCAATCAAACTTGTGCTCAACAAAATTTGTTATCATTATTTTATAGGGGTACTTACAAAAATACCCTTAAAATTAGGGATGTTTTGAAAAATCATGTGAAAGGTTTTTAGAAAGTAAAAGTACTGTGTAAAATGAAAAAAGTGACGCAATGTCACTTTTTTTTTATAAAATTGTCACTTTTTGACTTTTAAAAAAAAGTGACACAAACTCAAAAAAAGTGACAAATAACAAAATAGCGCCATCCATTCATGCAGCACCGATAATCGCATTCAGGCAAACTCACGTGCTGATTATGTTAGGAAAACATAACATATTATTTCATTTTTTTTTCTTCTTAAAAAGTGAGAAAAGCTTAAAAGGTGACAAAATTTAAAAAAGTGACACAATGTCACTTTTATAAAATTGAAGAGCAACTTTGACATCCCTGGATGGTACTGCATAAAATAAGTAAGTGACACAATCTCACTTTTACAAAAAAGTGATTTTGTTAGTCAAAAAATGACAAACAATAAAAAAAAATGTGATAGAAAAAAGTGACAAACACTAAAAAAGTAATATGAATTCAAAAAAAGTGACAAACGTTTAGAAAAGTGACAAAAAGTTTAAAAAATGCAAGCATGCGAAAAAGTGACAAAATATCAATCGAAACATTCAAAAAAGTAACAAAACACCAATCGAAAAAGTGACAAACCTTGTTTTATGTTAACACACATGAAAAAGAAAATTCTGAGCCAATTAGATTAATACATACAAGGTGTTTGCCCAAAAGGAGTGAAAAAGTGATATTGTGCCACTTTTTTCTATAAAAAAAGGTCAAAATATATTTCATTGGAACAATTAACTTGATGCATATGTGTGCATTTTTTTAAAATTTAAATATACGAATTCAAATCTTATTTTATGTTAAAACATATGAAAAAGAAAATTTAAATATATGAATTCAAACCTTATTTTAATCTTGTATTCAATTCATATTTTTTTGAATCAATTCAATTTATGACTCCAAGGTTTTTACAAAAATGAGAATATGTAAAGGTCGCAAGAAATGGTGTTAATAATTATTGTTTATTTTGCGTTCAATACTTCATGTGAGAAGATTTTTGACATTTAAACTTCGTCCATAACATATTTACATTGGCCACAATGCAAGCTTTCTAATAAATTTTGAATCGCTTAAAATAGATCATCTTAACGTAAAATATCGTATCAAATGAAAACTTTTTAATAATAAAATTTTTAAAAAGTGGAAAATATCAGATTGGGGAATGCCGCCGTCTTTGGAATGATTTTGTTGATTTTCAAATGTTTTATATTTTTGTTGGAAGTAATTACTACGGCTATTAAAACTTTAATTTGATTTAAGTGTATTAATCAATTCCTTTTTTTTTTTTTTTAAGTACTGTGTCTAATTTCCTCTATTTTATATACATTAACCTCAGCCCAATTCTCCGAAACCAAATCTAATTCTTATTTCATTTGGGTACAAGTAATCGGCCTCTCACTTCGCTTCATTTGGCAACTTAAACAGCTAGAACCAATCTCAGTCGTTAGCTCTGAGTGATCTAATCCCTACGGCAAATTTTCAAGATCAAATCTGAGCCCTTAGTTGGATGATATAAAAGCCTCTCTTTCTTCTCGAAATGAACCTTCTTCTCTTCCTGCAAGCCGATAAAGAAATCAATCGAATCTCTTTCTGTTCTTCTTAATTTCTTAGTGAAATTTCGAGAGATAATTGCAGTGAGGTTGTTGTGTAATCGGCAGAGATTTGCTCCCATGCAGAAACACTAATCAATAATTTACCTTTCCAAGCTGCAAAATCACATAAATATTTCAGTTGAAATTTATTCCCTTTTCTAGGTAATCTGTGTGTGCAAGAGATCGTAGTCTTACCAGCAAATATCTGTGCATAAGCAGGAGTAGCAATCCGCCTGAGGAGGGGCTTGCGTCTGGTTAGCTAGAGCAAACTTTCGAATCTTCAATTTGTTGTATTGAGTTTAATGGGAGAGTAAATTTTTATTCCAAGGTGACAATTTCTTCTATCTACCAATTTGTTGGAGAAGAAAAATATTGGCCATATAATCGGGGTGCTGAAGTTAATAATTCAAGAATTATAAACTTGTGAAGGGTAAAAATAGACTTTCAAGTACATTAAAACGAGGGGGCGAATTTATTGATATGTTGGAAGAATTGAGTCAACTCATTCATTGTAGTTATAGGGTAATAAAAACATATCTAGATTATTGTTGTTAATGCTTAAACCCTGAGGGGTTGCTCAATTGGTCAGATTTTAGGTTTGCTCCCCATGGTCACCGGTTCGAGTTCCCTCAGGACCACTGAGATGAGTACTCGGCCGTAAACTTCAGGGCCCCGTGGAATTAGTCAGGTGCGCGCAAGTTGGCCAGGACATCCACGGTTATCAAAAAAAAAATTGTTGTTAATGCTTACATACTAATCCATTGTATGTCAATTTCTTGTAAAGAATGTGGTTGGAAAGTGAAAAACCAAATATCAATAATGAACCACATGCAAGATTTAAGAATATTATCAATAATATTAGTTGTTAATTAAAGTAGGTCAACAAAAGAGATGGAGCGACAGGACAAGGCTAGCTCTCGTGAACTCATAGCTCCACTCCAAGAGATAAAAGAGAGAAAGGCATAATTCAATTCCTTCACCTGTGATTATAGTTCTCGTAGATCACGAGAAAGTTAAAAGGTTGTTTGACAGAGTTCTTAATTAAAGTTTTTAAAAAATTGTTGAAATCTGGTTGAAAAGTTGGCGTCAATGTGAAAGTGATTTTTTGAAAAGTACATTTTGAAGAATGTGTAATTAAAAAATATGAAGAAGATAGGGGAAAACATGAAAAGTTATTTATACTTGTTTGAGAGAATGTATAATTGAAAATAAATTTAATTAAAAATGATTTTGAAATATTCACTTTCAAATAAAGGATGACAAAAAGTTGTGAAATTCCATAAAAACGTGTGATTAAAAGTGAAATTTGATTAATTGAAAAGTTAATATTTTTTTTGGTAATTTAATCAAACAAGTACTAAATATAAATAATTACGAATCTTAAAACGCACGAGGTGTATATAGTCGAGTTATACAAGTGTTCCAGATGTTGGATACACACGTATATTTTTGTAATTTAGGCAATTTATTAAATAATAATGTTATAGAGGAGAAATTAATATTTTGTTTGATAAATATTTTAGTTTTCATCTAAGTTCAAAATTAATTTTAATCATATATTTTATTTCTTATATCAATAAACACAATTTTAGTTCAATTTATAGAAAGTAGAACGGCGAGAAAGAGAGAAAATATTGCAGTATTAGGGTCCGCCTGCCTTAATCTGTCACTAGCAATTTAGGGTTCGATTTCGTTTATTGCAAATTATTATTCGAATCTCCACTTCAGAAGGATCTCAAAAGTCGCCGGAAAATGGTTAGAGGATTGTTGGGAAAACTTGCCGGTCATTCCCTCTCCGTCGCCGGAAAATGGCAGCAACAACAGCTTCGCCGCCTCAACATCCATGAGTATCAGGTTCCACCTCTCCGACTCTTTCTCTCACGTTGACACACACTCACTCATATAGAAGTGTGTGCGTTTGCGTGTGTATTTACGAATGTATTGGTCTTATTTCGACGTGACCTCTCCGACTCTTTCTCTCACGCAGACACACACTCACTCATATAGGAGTGTGTGCGTTTGCGTGTGTGTTCACGAATTTATTGGTCTTATTTCGACGTGGAAAATAAAATACGCCTGATATACGTTAGCGAAAAGATCATTAATATACTTGGAAAGTTTTGATGCGATTGGTTTTACGATTTTGCTGATACGTGGTGTACAGATGGAATTATAGACATAGGCATTATAGTTAATCCCTTTTGTAGATCAACAACCTTGGAATTTCTGTCTCTGTCTTTTGTGCACTATATGGGAATAATGTGCCTATTCCTTTTCTTGATATCAGGGAGCAGAATTGATGAGCAAACATGGAATCAATGTTCCGAAAGGCGTGGCATCTGGTTCTATTGATGAAGTAAAAAAGGCAATTCGTGATGTGTTCCCCAACCAGAGTGAGGTATTACAGGCAAAGTTTAGGATGCTTATAAAGTTTTGGGGTAGTTATTGAGATTATATTACTTGACATTCTATAGTTAACTCTTGGCCTTGCAAATGCTAATAGTAATTGTTTTGAAGAGAAACAATGTTTAAAAAGGCGTAATTGGGTGCTGTGGCCTTTTTCTTCATAAGGCGCGTAAGCCTAACATTAAACCAATAAAGGGGGAGAAAAGTTATTGAAATGCAAAATAAGATACTATTATTTCGGGTGGGGACACTGGATTATTCCATAGGTGTCTCTGCAAAACACAATATTTTAATATCGTAGTGGGCATTGGATTATTCTCAAAATGGGTCAATAAGAATTTTTATGTTTTGTAGGCCACAAGCCTTGAGGCGGTGCTATGAGGCGTAAACCTCTAAAAACTGCCTCAAAATCAGTACCTTGAGGTGTTTTCACTCTAAAGCGGGCATTAAGGCAGGTTTCAATTGGGTTTTTTAAAACCATGAAGAGGATATACTTAAATTACATTACATATGATGCAGGTGGTGGTGAAGGCCCAAATTCTTGCCGGTGGCCGAGGCTTGGGAACATTCAAGAATGGTTTCCAGGGTGGAGTTCACATTGTGAAGGCTGACCAGGCTGAAGATGTAGCTGGTATGAAGGATAATCTCTCCATTTCCAGAAGGAATTCCTTGAAGCACCATATATTTATGTTTTATGTATCCTCATAGGCATGATTTAACTTCTAGCATCTCTAACTTGATTCTCCTAGGTAATGGGTTGATTGTTCATATATCTTCCATTTGAGAAACCAAAAAGAAAAAAAAATGTAATATTTCATCATCTGTTTCCTACAGAAGTTTTGTTTGCTTGCCATGCAGCTACTGCTTCCGTGGCCATACACCCTTTCCTCGGTGCTTGAGGTTGGGTTAGGTTTGTGGGTGGGCTGACATGTTTGTGTTATTAAACAGCTAGGATTCATTTACGAGTCCTCGTCAGTGAATACTATTATTTTGTTTGAAGTAAATTATGCACATTATGGAAGTAACTTTTTGAAGATTTGTACACGTGTGGCAGGGAAAATGCTTGGCCAGATACTTGTCACCAAGCAAACTGGGCCCCAAGGAAAAATTGTTAGCAAGGTTTGCCATTGATTACTTATTCTGTTTATCAAAATTTTTTATAAGTGCCGGCATTGACATGCACAAGTATAATGTCGGGTGGGGGGTTATCATGGCAATGTTAACCTTATGTAAATATTGTGAAGCAATTATGTCTTGCCTAATTTCATTTCCTAAAAATTAAACATAACTTTTCCATGCATGATCTTACATGGTATGAACTATTTTTTGATCTTCTAAGGACTGTAAAAAACATACCCTTAAACATAGTTACATTCATTTGGTGATCTAAAGAACTTTACGGAGTAAAATTTCTTGAATTTAGTCTGATATTTATAATGATCATTTCCTCTAATCTTGTTAACAATTTATTCAATGTAAAGGTATTCTATACCCTTCTTTCATTGTTAGACGGGTTCTAATACTCAAACAATCGTATTTAAATTCATGATGTAAGCTTCCTGACATGCTGACACTGGGTCGTTATTTTGAAGATATGTAGATGCATAGTTTTGTAACCTGCCAATCACAAAAATGCCGCCACCTAAAGATGAAATATTACATTAGAAACATATTTGGATTTCTGTTTTTGTTTTCGCAACAATGTAAACACTAATTAATTTTAGCCAGAGGAGTTATGAATAGCATGTTGAGAAGTTTTGTGCTTGGATGCCAAGCTTGACCAATATGGTTTTTGGACTAAACATGGGAATGGGACTCTGATTTTTTAATGAAATGAGATTGGACATACCAGTTTCCAATATGTATCTAGGTTTCAACCCAACTGTGCCTGTGAGAGGAGGATGTAAAAGGGTTTCAAATCTGGATATTGAAGGTTTTCTGTACTTTGTATGTAACAGGATTTGTGGTTGGAGGAGTAGGAGAAATTTTTTTATTTTCTATATCATTTGTCCTCAAAACCATGATTGTAATCTTGATTAATTTAAACGTCACAACTTTTTCTAGTTTGTATGTTCTGTACTTTGCTTTATATATTCCTATTTTATTGTAAATTTTTTGGGACTGTAGTAGTTTATTAGTTGTAGCCATTAAGTATATTGCTCATATGCCATCCACAGTTTGCAGATTATTGCCTCTAAACTTTTCTTTGACATGGAAGCCATACTTGCCTACTCATTAATACAAGTATTTGAAGATAATCAATAGTTTGATCATACGCCACTTCTTTCCCTAATTAACCTAATGCACTTTTCCTGGATTTAACAGTTTCAATTCTTTATTGTGCGCTAGTAAAATGATTATACTAATGGCATCACGTGTAAACTTTCTTGCAGGTTTACTTGTGTGAAAAGTTGTCACTAGTGAATGAGATGTACTTTGCCATTACTCTTGATCGTAAAAGTGCTGGTCCTGTAAGCTCCAAAAAATTGTAGACTACCTAATTGTTCACTTTTTACAACTAGTGAAGCTGATCAAAATGTGCTAACGTTTTGCACTTTATTGCTTTAGTTCTTTGTGTATTAGATTATGCCTTCCTCAAAATCTCAGAGATCTGTGTTATTTGGCAAGCATCCTTTGTTAAATGTATCACCTATTGACCATCCTGAATGCCGTTTACTTGGTGTTCTCATCGAGTAGCTGTAGATGAATCTCGAGGTGTCTCATTAAAATTGATCTAGTTTCGAACTTTTTTTTTATCATCTAGCTTTCCTATCGCATTTGCTTTTCTTGAGTTCTTTGCTTAGATGGACATTTGTCAGTTTCAGGATGTAATTGTTGTGACTTTTGAAAAGAAAATGTATTAGAAACTCTCTGTATTTTATTTTTTGAAAAGAAAATGTATTAGAAATTCTCTGTATTTTATGATATACTAAATTTTTTTCTTTTATTTAGGGCCAATTTGATTATTCTTACTCACAGTGGTGGGATTTATTTGAAGATACTATTGACCTGAGTAAATGTATCAATATGCTAATTAGTATATGGATGTTTTCGTTTCTGCAGCTTATTATTGCCTGTAAAAAGGGAGGAACCAGTATTGAAGATCTTGCTGAGAAACATCCAGAGTTGATTGTCAAGGTTGCTCTCACCGCCTTTACTTTGAGTGCTAGCTGGCTGTGGAAATTTTGCCTTTTGGCTATGTTTAGTTTTTTACTAATTAGAACTTTGTTCTTGCTTGGCCCAGGTATCTATTGATGTTTTCACAGGAATCACTGATGAGGATGCTGCCAAGGTGGTTGATGGTTTGTCACCCAAGGTGGCTGACAGAAGTGCTTCAATGGAACAAGTGAAGAAGTTATATGAACTTTTCTGCAAATGTGACTGCACATTGTTAGAGGTAACAAATCTTATTTGTATTCTCTCAGAAAGGTTTCCTTTATTTCTGTTGATTCCTTATATTCTCTAGGTTTATAAGGGGCATAGGCTTCCATAACTCTTGTTTTATGTCTCAAATGGAACCACGACTTTTTGGGCAGATCAATCCCATGGCTGAAACTTCTGATAAACAGTTAGTAGCTGCTGATGCGAAACTTAACTTTGATGATAATGCTGCCTTCCGTCAGAAAGAAATATTTGCTCTTCGAGATCCAACACAAGAGGATCCTCGTGAGGTATTTCCCATAATTTATTTTGTCTATGAATGAACCTTGGTATAGTGCTTTATGCATGCTCCCAGCGTTCAAGATGCCAATAAGCCTTTATTGTTGAATTTTTACGTGTCTATAAATTGTCAGGTTGCTGCAGCAGAAGCTGACTTGAACTACATCGGTTTAGATGGAGAAATTGGTTGTATGGTGAATGGTGCTGGATTGGCTATGGCTACCATGGATATAATTAAGTTACATGGAGGAACTCCTGCCAATTTTCTTGATGTTGGTGGAAATGCTTCCGAAAGCCAGGTTCCTCCAATTTTTCTTTTCTAAATATAATTATTTCTTTTGCTTTGAATTGGTATCAGGCATACATGTGGGTTTATTTGATTTTTCCTCAGCCAATTCTAATAACCAATTTACGAGTTTGCTAACTATAAAAAAGACTAGTTTTCAGTGATTCGAGAAATAGCTAGTTGAACAGAAATTTTTGTTTCTTGTTTGTAGTTATGACTTGGGTTATTTTAACTGCTTTTTAATAGGTTGTGGAGGCTTTCAAAATTTTGACATCAGATGAGAAGGTGAAGGCTATTTTGGTGAACATTTTTGGAGGAATAATGAAGTGTGATGTAATTGCCAGTGGAATTGTCAATGCTGCTAAACAGGTAAAGACTTGCATTGGTTTATGACTTTACGTACATGCGAAATAGGCTCTTGTAGCTTCTGACCTTTTCTTTTTAAATTCCTCCTGACGGTTAAATCAGTCACCTGCCACCCTGCATTCCTTTACCTGTTTAGCCTTTTCCTTAGGTCATTAAATTTGTTAATTGTGTCGTTCAATCCTTTGCCGTGATCTCTTTTATTGGTCTTTATATCTATCCCGGAAGTTTTTAATCCCAAAGAGAGCAAATAATATTATATTTTATTCGATGAGTTCGTTCAAAAACTATCAACTCATGGAAATGTTAACTCTCCTTTTGTGGGAGTAATTGCAAAATTCTAACTCTGTTGGGTTTCCTTTCAAGGTTCAACTGAAAGTACCTGTAGTCGTTCGTCTTGAAGGAACCAATGTTGACCAGGGAAAGAGAATTCTGAAGGTGAATATATAATCACATATTGTGCATTTACTTTCTGAAAGCTACTTGTGAATGTGCACGAATTCATATTTAAACCATTATTTTTGCAATTGATGTTGCGTTAACAGGAAAGTGGCATGACACTAATTACTGCTGAAGATCTGGACGATGCAGCTGAGAAAGCAGTTAAAGCGTCAACAAGTTAAGAAAACCTCCTTGTCTATGTTTCTTGACATTTTTTGAGCATACTCTTTCTCCATGGCTTTTTTGAGGTCAAATCTTATGTATACTGATTCATTGTCTCAAGAAGGCTTTCATCAAAAAAAAAAAATCTTCTGTCTCCATTGATAAATGGAGAAGGCTTTAAATCAGTCTCGATTATAATAAAGAAAGTAATCAGTAATGTTTTGTTTGTTCGAGTTTTAGTAAATTATCAGTTACAAGCGAGTTATACATGTTGATTCAAGAAAGCGCTTCTTTCTATCCTCTTTTATGGTGCATCCTTCCTTTTTCTACTGTTTTGCACCAGAATGTATGTACCCTTCATTCTTTTGTCGTCAACAATGGTAGAAAACGAAAACACGTACTAAAAAGCAGTGAAAATGATGGGCAATCTTATGCTCCTAGGAATGATCTGGGTAAAATTTTGTTTGTAGTATTGTGCATTCTTGTCCAGTTTAGTATGTCGAACATGCTTGAAGTGTTTCCCTATTGCTATCAAGTGAAAAGATAATAAGTTGACGCAAAGCAAAGCGCTAATTAAATCATTCCCATTAACTGGATGATAGGTACAAAGCATTAAGACAAATATATGGCTATGGCACAAACAATAAGTAAACGAATGTATGAAATAGAGAAACTCGGGATTTGTTTAACAATCTCGAGATCCTTTTTTATTAGATAGGAAGGGTTGTAGCACAAAATGCGATCCATGAGAAAGGCGGAGTACGAAGGAAATAAAGAAATTCTAAGTACTTTTAGCTGGGAAAGTAAGTTTCTTCCTTGAGTGATTCTGCAATTCTCTTGGAAATACAGTAGGCAGTTGATTCAATGGTGATCATTGGATTAACACCAACTGCAGTAGGGAGTACACTTCCGTCACACACGAATAAGCCTTTTGCTTCCCAACTTTCTCCATTTTCATCAACTGCGCCATCTTCCTCGTTAGCACCCATTCTGCAACTACTCATCTGGTGTGCAGAACAATACATGGTCCAATACTTTTCAGCCGACCCCGGCCCTCCAACTGCCATAACTGTCTCCAAAAACTCCTCCAAATCCTCATTCTTAGTCCCTTTACTGCTAAATCTTTGTCCATCACTACGGAAAGTGCCCACTTCAGTAGCTCCTGCTGCAATCAAAATCCTCAAAGTCTCTCTCAATCCTGCTTTTAGATTATCTCTGTCTAGTCGATGCAACTCATATTTTATCCTACCTTCCTCTTTCACCTCTCCCGAACCTAAGTCTCTGACTAACGCAAACAGCATGGCAGTTCTTGAATATTTCGCCATCCTGTCTTTCATGTCATGCCCGGAAGTCCACGGAAGGAAAACCGCGAATGAACCAGGGCCGAATCCAGCAGTTTCAATGATAGTCCGGAAATTGGATTCTTGAGTAACGACCTTGTGGATGGAAGTTATGATTCCTCCCTCAAAATTTTTACCTTTAAGTTCTGATAAAGATTCCGGGAAATATCCCCAGGCAAATAAAACGGGGTGGAGATGAAGATTTCGGCCAACATTTTTGTTTTTTAATCCACTGGAAACCAGTAAAGGTGGAGTGAAAAGAGCCCCACAAGAAGAAACTGAAGCCTTTGCCTCAATATGCAGCTTCTTCTTGATGTTCTTACTTTCAGTATTTGCAATTACTCCCACACATTTCTTCCTTTTGATCTTTCCATTCTGATCTTTCACCAATAAGAACTTCTCGGCTTTACATCCTGTTAAAATCACTGCACCATTCTCGACAGCATCGACAAGCCAAGAGGAATCGGTTCCTTTTTTATCTCCTCTCCTGCAGCCATAACCACAAGAGCCACAGTAATGATTCTCAGATGAATTTCTAGCGACTCCTTCGACTTTTAGGCCGAGTCTTTCGCACCCTTTTCTAAGAACTTGATTCTGGAAACCTTCCTCCACACAATTCTCTGTGACGCTGATTCTCTTCCACACTGCATCCATGGCAGATTGATATTCAGCACTACCAAACATCGGAATCTTTTCTTTATTGTACCATTCATCAAGAACATGGTTTGGAGTTTTAATGCAAGCAGACCAGTTTACAGCAGAACCTCCCCCAACTGTTGATCCTGCCAAACATATAAATTTCCCGTCTACACTCGGAAAAATTCCACCTGATGCGTACAATTCATTCATGGAAGGTCCTTCCAGACCAGAATAATCTTCCGGCACAAAGTAGTTACCCTTCTCCAGGACGACCACTTTCAGGCCAAAATTCGCAAGAATTGCGGCTGCAACCCCTCCTCCACATCCAGATCCGACGATCACTACATCACATTTGATTTTTAACGCATTTGCCTCTGGATCGTCAGCCACATGTATGCCCTTCTGAATGAATGATTCCTTTAGTGTTGATTCACTTTGATTCATGGTTTCTACAATGCCCTTTTCAAGAGGTCTCTCCTTTTCTTTGCTCGAATTTTCCACAGCCTCTACATGGTACCCAATTGCTTCCCATGCTGGATTTTGAGAGTTTTCATCAGCCTGCAACAAATTTTGAATAGTAACTTCGTATATGTAAAGGTTGACTTGTATTTGAAATCGATGCCAATACAAATCTAGTGTAATATCAGCCTAAGTGTGTGGATTTGTGAGTTAGGGTAGTCTGTGTGGATTTGTGAGTTAGGGTAGTCTTACTCTGATTAAGTTGTTAAATTAGTGTTGAGTCGAGATATAAAAAGCAGTGATTAGCAGAAGCATTACCAAAGAGAAAAAGGTGTAGAAACAGGTAACTTTGAGCAAGTAGAAGACTGTCCTTAGTGGAAGCAGAAATGTTCCTCTTGACCATTTCTGGAGTATAGCTTCTCTTTTCTTCAATGGCAATTCAGAGAACTTGTGAACAAACGGCCACTTCCAATCCAAACAACGATGCCCACAAAGCAAAAGTGTTCCCAATCTGGTTGATAGAAACTTTAACACTAAGCCCACTATGAACACACCTTTAGGTATTCCCCTCTTCACCAAAAGCTCTGCAGTCTATCCATAAATAAACACAAACTGGTAAGATTACGTAATTCTATCAAAGTTGGATTCAGGTCCATCTATGTGATTCTTTACGGGGTAATCAACTGAGAAGTATGTTTGGCCAAAAAAAAAAAAGTAACTCAAATTTTGTAGACCAAAATCTACACAAGTACCAGTATAAGCAAAATAAGTTCAAGAATTCTGACTAATTTGACTCGTAAACTGCTGGGAATAACAGTTGTGTAGATTTTGATCCACAAAATTTTTGGATCCCAACTTATTGCCAAACATATCTTTTCTGGGCATTGTTATGGATTTAGAGAAAAAAAAAAAGCGCTGACTGTATGGAGTAAAAGAAAAAACAAAGTTTGGGGTCTTAAGTCTACCCTAGACTATAGCCCAATATATGAATGAAAAAGTAACTATTTATGTTCTCATAGTTCGTCGCAAGCCCAAATATAGGAAAAGAGATGTGGCACGTTGACCGTCGATATAGAACTTTGTCATGTAGAGACATGAATATGTCTCTACATATTGTCAATCCTTTCAAAATTTATAAGAGAACAAGGCTTTGTTTGCCGTTATTCATCGTTGTTGCATGTGTATCATTCAATGAGATAGAAAAAAGTAGCATCGCTAGCAAAATTTACCTCATCAGGGAATGGAGGAAGAGAACCGGAAGACTCGTAGTACGAGTAAAGCGACTTGTTATGCAAGTTTCCATTGCTCATGGTGTCAACTGGGATTGGAGGTATTAGGGCTTCACATACAGCAGCCAATGACTGAATCTGAGATGAAGAGAAGTCATGGTTATAGCTTCTGCTCACTCCTCCCGTCAGCAATGGATGACTCTTTCTGACTCTTTCCATTTTACTCTCTCTACTCACCCTCTCTATTATCTCTCTCTTTGTATTCTGTCATTCTGCAAACCTTAAGCTGTGTTATCTTATATAGTACTAAGTACCCGTTTGCAAGGCGGTTAAAAGAGTAAAAAATTGCTTTTAAAATATTTGTCTTGTTTCAAGATCTTTTGCAACGTTAGTAAAATGTTTAAAATTATGTACATGGATGGAGTGTCCTGTTGCCCTGGTTGAGAAGGATTGGAACCTAACTTGTCCTTTTAAAGAATGGAAGTCGGAAGATAGTGAAAGAAGAAAAAGGTTTTTTGTAAAAGTTAATAATTATTTTGTAAAATCTTAATTATTAATTATTAATATTTAACCTAACAATGCATCGTTTTGATACCTTGTTATGGAACGATTAGTTGATTTTGTTGGCCAGTTATAAGGATTAATCTAAGGCTCCGTTTGATAGCCTTAGTTTTCCATGGAAAAGGAAAATATTTTCCTTTTCCACCCTTAAAAAGTTGTTTGATAGGTAAATTTTTCCATGAAAAACGTTTTCCACCTTTTTCTAGGTACAATCATTTGATGCACAAAAACTTGATTTTGTTTTCCCACCTATTTTTTTTTTTTTTTTAGCAAAGGCAACCAATTCTATCAACTATTGTAAAAAGAATTTTCATTTTTGTTGACAATTTCTATGTAAAA